GCTCAAGTGGTAGAGTGCTAGCCTTGAGCTGAAGAGCTGAGGGACAGTGCCCAGGCCCAGAGGTCAGGCCCCATGACTGGACCCCCCCAAAAAAAAAAACTGTGATCCTAGATCTCAGCCTCTTGAGTAGCTAGGATTACAGGCATGAGCCACCGATGCCTGGCTTATATATATTTTTATTGGAGATAAAGAATCTTATGAACTTTTCTGTCCTGATTGGCTTTGAATCAAGATTCTCATATCTCAGCTTCTTGATTAAGTAGAATTAGAAGCATGAGCCACCAGCGCCCAGCTTGGAGGAAATTTATTTATTTTTATTTTTTTGGGTCCGGTGGTGGGGCCTGAACTCTGGGCCTGGTCGCTGTCCCTCAGCTCTTCAGCTCAAGGCTAGCGCTCTACCATTTGAGCCACAGTGCTACTTCCGACTTTTTTCTTTTTGCTTATGTTGTACTGAGAAATTGAACCCAGGGCCTCATGCATGCAAGGCAAGTGCTCTACCACTGAGCCACCATTCCAGCTCCAGCCCCTGGAGGAAATTTTTAAAATATAATTTGTTATTATTCAGATGTACAGATTGTGTATTACCATTTCATAAAGTCAGGTAATGAGTACACTTCTTTTTGGACAATATCATCCCTTCATTTTGCCTTTCCCATCCCTGCCTACAAGTTGCATAGTTCATTTTCTACATAGTGTCTACTGAGTTCCATACTTGCATTTGTTCATCCTTAGAATGAGTATTTTTTGGAACCAAGTCCCATCCTGTTACCCAAGCTAGCCTCAAATTCTATTTTTTTTTTGGTAGGTCGTGGGTTGTGGTTGCTGTCCCTGAGCTCTTCAGTCAAGGCTAGCACCCTAGCACTTGAGCCACAGTGCCACTTCCATCTTTTTCTGTTCATTTGGTGCTGAGGAATCGAACCCAGGACCTCATACATGCAAGGCAAATGCTCTATCACTGAACTACCTTCCCACCCCCTAGTCTTAAATTCTTTATTTTTATTTTTGCCATCCTGGGGCTTGAACCCAGGCCCTGGGCACTGTCCCTGAGTTTCTTTTGCTCACTTGAACCACAGCAACACTTTCATCTTTTTCTGTTTATGTGCTACTGAGCAATCGTACCCTGGGCTTCATCCATGCTAGGCATGCACTCTTACCACTAAGCCATAATCCCAGCCCCTAGCCTCAAATTCTTTATATAAATATATATATATATATAATAAATTATATATATATATCTAATTTATTTTGCAGAAACTGTACAGAGGGGTTATAGTTACATGAGTAAGGTAATGAGTACATTTCCTATCGAGCATTGTTACCCTCTCCTTTGTTTTTTCCCTACCATCCCTTCCCTCTCCAACTCCTCTGTCCCTGCTGCGCCCGCCCCCCC